ATAAGCATCCTATGAGTGCTGTGGCTCTGCAGCGCTTTGCTAAGTGCAGGAGATTCCAAGGTAATAATATTCAGATTCTGTTTTCAAGCCTTTCACACACCAGAGCAAGGGAATAGACGAGACAGTCAATTAAAAAAAATGCATTGTGATAAGTGCTCTACAATAATCATAGTGATAACCTTTGGTTATTTAGCCCCTACTGTATGCCAAGTATTACTTTGCCCCTACTGTGTGAAAGTACATGTATTAATTCTTTTAATCCTCCAACAACATTTTGTCAGTCACTAGCTATATGATCTTGGGTTTAATCTCTCTGGGTCTTATTATCCACATCTGTAACATGGAAAAAGCATAGAACCCACCTCATAAGAAATGAGATAGTCCATGTAAAAGCATTATGATGGACACAGTAAGACTCAAAAAAAGCAATTATAAAGTTTTTGTAAAGAATTTGGACAATATAGATAGTTATCAAGAAGAATGTAAAAATCTTTAAAATCTCACTCTCAAACTTCTAAACTTGCTCCCTGCACACCTGCACACATGAGAATCTTGGGTATGTATAATTTTTACATAAATGGAGGCAGACACTGCATAACAAAGTGTAAGTCATGGACAGCTTTCAGCTTCCATGAGTAGAGTATGAGCTACATCATCCTTTTTATCAGCTGCCTAAGATGGACTTACATGAATGCATATTTCTACATACATAGTTTATTTAACCAGTTCTATGTTGCTGAATACTTGGTTGTCTTTCCATTTTTCTCCCAGCCAGGTTTTAAGGCAATTAAGAGGTGAATGGGCATAAGATGTGCAGAGGAGCTGCCAGAGTGGTGGGTGTAATAGGAAAGCCTCTCCCTATACATTCTTGTGTCCCCATAGCCCACCCTGCCCCAGGATGTGCCCAGACAACCTGCCTCCCTGCAGACTCCAGTGGGGCACTGGCAGGACCTTCCTCTTCTTCCCCTCCCAGGAAGATCTCTGAGCCATCAAGACCTCTCCATTTGCTTTGGCTACATTAGCCTAGGGCTGGGGCTTGAATGGTGCAGTCATTCCTTGCTAAGTGCTTGAATTAGACTAATAGGTCATCTGTGCTGTTCTCTGAAGAAGGTCCAAATTCCTGGTAAACAACCAGACCACTCTCCCAGCCCTGGGCCCAGAGCCAAGACCCCGGGTGGGGGCACAGTGGCTGAACTGACATCCTGGCTGACTAGCTTCTGGGTAACAAAGTGGGAAGCGCTGCTGGCAGCAGTGATAAGTGAAGAGTGCTGAATTATAGGCCTCTGTATGGTCAGTGTGGAGCAGACTATCTTTTAAACAACTTTCTTCAAATTCCACTCATTCAATCATTCATTCAGATAATGGACCTTTAACAAGCACTTGCTCTGTGCCAAGCCATGAGTATTTTTCAAGATCTGTCCCGTCCACTCATGAACTGCCATTTCAGTGAAGGGGCAGCCCAGGACTCTGGCAGTTGGGCCCTAAGTTCTGGCAGCTGGGACTCTTCAGTTATCCTGGTTGATTATAACACTCAGCTGTTTGACCTTGGGAAATATTCTATACCCCTCTGAGCCACCATTTCCTCATCCACAGTGGGGATGCCAATAGGAATACTTAACTTAAAGGGTTACAGTTTTAGTTTACTTTGTTTTTAATAAATGTAACATCAGCAATTTAATTTCCACTAAAAAATGAATTGGCAATATCAACTAATGTTTATATCAATTTTAATGGTTTTGGTTGCCAATCGTTTGGCTTCCTATTTCTGTAAAAGTTTATAAGTATGAGGAACTTATGCTTGTTTTGACTTCCTTGTGTATTTAGGTTAGATAATAGTAAAAATATTTAAAGCCAACCAGCGTTGTTTAGAGGGCTGGAAATAATTATAACACACATAGTGCTTGATACAGGTTAAACACTCAATAAATGGCAACTATTACTATTATTACTTTTGAGAGGGGATCTGTGGGTACCATGTGTTCTGCTCCCTGTCCTGGAACAATTGTGAGTGATGGTGCTGGCTCTCTCTCCAATTGTGGGCAGTAGGTGGGATTGCCCACAGAGACTTGCTGTTCAAGATCTGAACTCCAGGATGAAGCCAGAGCTCCGGGTCTGTAGCGCAGGCCCTGAGGGTCCTTGGACAAGTTATGGAGTCAAAGAAAGTCAGTGCTTTAGCCAAAGGTCTTTTGACTGCAAGTAACAGAAACATAGGAATTACTTAGGGGAACATAATGCAACCCAGTCCAGGAATTCTGCCAGACCTTGGGGGAGTTGAAACTGGCCGAGTCAGAAACCAGTTTTGGGCCCTATTGGTTGACAGCCTAGTCATCATGGACCATCTACTTTATTCTCTCTGCAAACCTGCTTCCTCTGTATGATCTTCCAGGTCTAGTGACTTCACTAAATGACCTCCCATCCCAATTCTAAATTCACAGAAAATCTGAATGTCTGTGCACAGGTTCTAGATTGACTTTTCTGGAGTGGGGGTCCAACCTAAGCCTATCAGCTGTGTAAAAGAAACAAATCTACATGCTACTAAAGTAATTTCAGAATCCCAGGCCTATTAGTAGAGGTCAGTTCTCAGAGAAGGAAGTGTGGCTCACTAGAACCCCCCAAAAGCATAGTCTCTTGTTAGGGAATTGGAGTGGATCTTAATAATCTGAGATCCAGCTTTATTTCTTTTATGGCTTCCTCCCTAGCCTTGGAGTGTCTTCTCTGAGCTTCCTTTTTAGATGCCCTGAAGGGATGGGAATGTAGGAACACAGGCCACATGCTATGGCTCCTTTAGGTCTGAGAACCACCCTCGGAGCTAGATCTGAGTGGAGGTTCTTTATGGCTGCAGAAGGAGGCTTTGCTTCTGTGGGACTTGCTAGATTTCTGGTCCTTGCAGTTTAGAGTAAGGCAAAGTGAAGAGGATCAGAATATGCCACCCCAAAATATGCCACTTCAGCATAAGGATTATTTTGACTTAAAAGCAATTGAGAATCAACGGGGACAGGAAGAGTTCTATACCCACCCCTTATCTGCCTGAAAGCAGAGTATAACTGAAGATGAGAAGTCAACTCCAAGATAAATTTGCATAAAGAGAAATCACTTAAATAGGCCTTATCTTCCATTAGTTTCTCCATATATTTCCTAGTCACTTCCCCACAATTTGTTGTCCTTTGGAGCCCAAACACTCTTCTTTTGTTTAAAGAATACATAAGGCTCTAAATCTAACCCTGAGTCTTATTTGATTATTACTTTTCCGCAGGTAAGTTCTAAAAGGATAGAGGAAAAGCATTACTATATTCTTGCTATATTTCATTTGACCAACAGTCATAGGCTCTCACCCTCATTCCCCTCTTGGGATCTCTAGTTCTCAGAAATTCCAGTCTCTTTTTTTAGTATCTCTGCTTTTCTCAGGAGGAAGTCTATTCACATCTGGAACCTGTGACACTTATTGCAATAAAATTACACCTTCAGATATTGAGCTGGTCATGGCCTTATCTGACACATTGTGGGTGAGTGTGAGGGTGGAAGTGAGATGGAGACAATAATAATAGCTTAATGTGTGCAAAGCACCATGCTAATGGCTTAATGAACATTATCTCATTTACTTTTCAGAACTATCTTATTTTATTTTTCCCATTTTACAAGGGGGCTTACAGAGGCCAAGCAACTTGTCCAAGGTTACAAGACTAACAAGTGGCTGATCTAGAAATCAAATCTTAATCTTCCTGACTCCCAGGTAAAATCTTTGATCCACATCATATTTATCCAGTATTGGAGTGAGACCCCCCCACATCCTAAATTACAACAGAGGCCATGAAGAGGGGTATGGGGTCAGAGGGAGCTCTATTAGGCTGCAGAGATGGTTTCCTGGAAGAGAAGGTATTGGGACTTGGCCTAGAAGAATAAGTAGGATTTATTAGGCAGAAATGGGGAAAAGGGTACCCTAGAGATCAGAGTAAACAAATGCAAAGACTGTAAAGGGCAGGATGTTTTGGAGGAAACAACAGACAGTCTGCTGTGACTGGAGTTTTGTGAGGGAAGGTGCTCCCAGGTCTTCCTGTCACTCATCTTCCCACCCCACAGTCCTGCAGGAGGGATCTCCTCTGAGGACACACCGAGCTGCAGAGCTGCAGCTATGAAATCCAGGCCCTTTGGAGCAGGCAGGAGTCCTGGGGAACTGATGTGCAGAATTCTGGCCTGGCATGCTCGGCATCCCTGGCTATGGGGAGCTCCAGGGCCCCTCAACCCCTCGGTGACATTCCAGGGCACAGAGGTCAGTCAGTGTGTATAAGTGAGAGGAAGAAATGAGCCTGTGTCTTCGGCTGGTAACAGTGACAAACAGGAAGGGAGATCTCATTCCCCACAGAGAGATACCAGCAAATAGCCCTTCTCAGGTGCTGACTCTGCTACCAGTTGCTGGAGTTAGCTGAAGTGTCAGAGCATTTGTTCTGAGAGTCTGGTCTTTCCAGACTTTGCTTGGCTTTTGAGTTCCCATGGAGGTTTCAGGATT